CCCCCCCGCTCTACCGCCTGCCTCCCTCCCCCGAAACCTCGCTCTCGTCTATTGAGAAAAGGTCACTGTGATGTCAGCGGCATGCGCCGAGCGGTGCGGGCTCGCGTCGCGAATCGACAAGAGTTACGCCGGCCGGGCTGTGGGCGTCGGGTTCGCGAGGATACTTGGACGAATCCACGACGCCAGCATTCGGTGGGTCCTTGGTATCCGTGGATTTTCTATGAGTGTGTTTATCCGTTTCTGTGTTGTCATGGTTGTTTTTGTGATTTTTCTAGTTTTTTTTTCTCGGGGTGGTATGTGTGGGCATACGGTAGCTGTCTGGTCATGGTTTGCGTTGTGATTCGTCTGCACGTGTCTTGTGGATTATGTTGTGGTTCATCTAGTTTGTGGTTTGTCTGGTTTGTGAATTTGTCTGTATCTGTCTTGAAATGGATTTTTTGTTGTGATTTGTGTTGGTGGCTTGTCTCAGTATGTGTGGGTGTGGGTATTCCTTCTGGATGTGCCGGCTTGTGGCGATCGATCACTTTTTGTGTTTGGTGGTTTGTCTTCGGTGGTGCGTGTTGGTGTGTGTATTTCTGTAACTGTTGGCTTTGCGTCGATGTATTTTGGGCAATTCACGTGTGGTCTCTCGTAACGATACCATGACTTCGTTTTTGTGGCGCTTTACGCTCGGGATGTTCAGAGGAAGTCTTCATCGCAGCAGCACGCGGCGGTGCAGAGTTGGTCGGCTTCGCCGCCATGGTCGCTTTCCTTTGAATGGCGACAGCTGCATGCTTCCCGCCCCCCACCCCCCGCGTCTTGGAATGGCGACGACGCACACACTGCGTCCAAACAAGGCTGCATCCCCCCCCGCTTCTTCGAACGATGTTGCAGCACAGACTTGCTTGCAAACAAGGCTGCACCCTCCCCTCTCTGTGCTGGAGTACACACAAACAAGAAGTACGCACAAACCAGGCAGGTGGACAGACACCCTTCTCACCGAGCCCCCCTTTCCGCTTGCCCCCCCCTGCTATCAGGATTGGCAATTCGTACCTGAGGTGCTCCTTCACCGTGATCGAGCACGGCGAGATCGACCTCCTCGTCGGCCTGGACGTCTTGCGCGCCCACCGCTGTGTAATCAGTCTCTCCAAGAACAGGATGAAGTTTCACGCCGGAGTCGGCCCGGCGAAAGAGGCGAGTTAGATATAACGGGGTGCAGCGAATTTCGTCTGTGTTGTTCGTCTGTGGGGCGCAGCGAATCATGACGCCATTGTGCTGGTTGGATTAGTATGTTCACTTTGAACAGCTGGTCGGCGATTTTGGTGTGGCGGTGACCAGCAGTGGGGGCGATGTATCCACGTTCATGGTTGATGCAGGGTTTCGGATGGCACTTGAGACAGACAAGAGTGCCGTGGTCCATCCGTGTTTGCGTCCTGATCCCCGCCGCACATCGGATCGAGGAGCAACCAAGGTCTGGTAGAATGCATGCCGCTTCTCCATTCCCTTTGAAGAAACAATCGAGTGGTATGAATGGCACGTGCCCAGACAGCCCATCTAGACTGCATTTGTTCCAATGTATTGTGCTACTGCTTCAGCTCGAAGCGTAAGCAAGAAACCGTTTCTTTCGTCTCTCTTTACGTATCCTCCCACCCTCTCCTTCCCTCCCTTCCCTCCCTCCCTCCCTCCCTCCCTCCCTTCCTCCCACCCCCTTCTCTCGCTCTCTCATGACAGCAGGTGGCTTTCCTGACTAGAATCGAGAGGAAAGGGGGGAAATGCCAGCGGCGGTGGTACAGACCGCGGCGGCGGTCCTCGGTGAGTATGTCATCTCAGGCTCGAAAGCGGGTTTTCGCTGCCATATCCCCAAACACTTGATCGGTTCTCCATCTTTTGCTATTCCTCAAGATTCATGCGGCAAAGGCAATCTTCATCTTCTGGTGCTGCCTGTGGACTGACTCCCTAGCTGCTACGACAAACTGTTTTGACCTGAAGGGGGGGGGGAGAGGGCATGCAGAGGTGAAAGGGGGGGGGAGGGTAGTCCGAAGTTTCCCGTTCCCCTCCTGAACAAGTTAGCCTGTCATCGACTTTCAGGATGCCCTTTCCTGGGCGCCTTTCCGCAAATTTTCCTTGTCGGGGAAAACGTTCATGTGACCCGTTCCAGCGTTGCATGGAACCAGTCCCAGGGGTGTATGCGATCGAGGTATATGGTGGAACGACTAGAGCTTGCACGATGGTAGAGTGGTTTCGCTTGCCGCCTCTCCTTGGGGGACATTCGGTTCCCGGCCCCTCTTCCTGTGAAACGAAGTGAGCAGTACGTAGGGCTGGTCTCGTTGTTATCGGCTTTCCCAGACGACAACAGTGCTGTGTGCGAAATATGAGACTGCGCCTGCCCCATCCCCGCTCGTTCGGCCTGGTTCGACTGATTCTGATTCTTTGGACTGGTGTGTCAGGGTGTGGACAGGGGCGCGGACCGCTACGGGTATGGCGACGACAACGGCAACTGCAGCTATTCGAGCGAAGAAGGAGCACGCCGATCCTATGGGCCCCCCAGTCGTCCGCCCCCTCCACGGGTGCTCCGAGAGATGGCCAGAGGTAGCATATTGATTAGCCCGAGGCGGGACGTTTCTTTAATGCCGCGCAACCTGTTGGCCCTACTTTAGAGGTGTTCGTAGCATTCACACTGTTCGGCGGACCGGGGTTTTGCTTCCCTTTGCATCCCTTCGTTCGCTAGATCACCGGCGCAACACGAAAGCTCGACCCACCGCCCTTCAAGTATTATTTCGCCTGCCACCCCTCGGGGTGCATATAAGGCGTGACAACATTCCATCTACATGGTTTGTACTTCGAGGCGTATGTTGTTGAGCATCCCCTTTTCACCAATGATGTTTTGCTTGCCTGCGCTGGTGTTGGCAGTGATTTTTTCCGTTTCATCAGCCTGTCAGCCTTGTCACTTCGCCCTGAATTGTTTTTCAGGTGGTCTCACCTAGGTGCAAACAACCGCCGAGCTCGCGATGTCTTAGCGCGATGATTTGCTTCAAGAGATATGTGGCCGTACCATTGACCACGTATACAACCACGATCTACGTACCATTTTTCTCATCCCGGAGTGCTCCTTTGTGTGCCCTTCCTAGCGTGAACACTTCTCACGGCCTCACAACTGCTTCTCGCCACGGCGTCCACAGGAACACGCGGAGACGGGGTCCCATATGGGATGGAAAAGCGATCCAGCCAACACCGTTCCATGGAAGACAGCGACGACGGCGGTGGCGATGGCCCTTCCCAATCCATCTGGCCGAAAAAACGAATGAGGGGTTGGCCCCCCCGGGGAGTTAAAGAAGAGCTCGAGACAGGTGAGTAGAACCGCGAGGAGAGGGAAGGGCGGCACGCGGGAAAGGCTGACTCGCGGCGGCGCCGGCGGGGGCGGCGGTGGCACCAAAGCAGCGGCCTTGAAGGCGGGCACGCATACTGAGGCGGTGTGGCTTGGTACGGAGGCTTAACGGGGACGCTGCGGCAAGGGTAAGGGCCGGCATCGAACCAAGGGAGAGGATTTTTCGTACTCCTATTTTTCATGTGTTAGCGGTTAGACCTTTTACCAAGCGTCCTGGAGAGGACAGAACATTGAGAAAGCCCGGGGAGATGGCGTGGGACCGAAATACGAGGCACCCAAGCATCCAGGAGGGCCGGGGGTAAGAACATTGCGAATTTGAGAGCCGCAACGGAGGGTCATGGGAGGGGCGGGGGAGGGGCGGGGGTGACGTTTGGTTGGAATTGCGTGGCTGGGACGTTTGGTTGAGGTGAAGGTGGGAATGTGGTGCCGAGGAAATTGGGGCGGAAACGGGTTAACCGGTTGTAGGACTATCTGGCGTCGAAGCACCTGCGCCGACCACCGCCCATGTAGTTCTACAGTAGTACCCATTGAGCCGGGATCTTGCTGTAATTGTAGATAGGGCGTGCTCTCGCAGATGAAGAGCAGAGCCAGCGGGTGGTGAAGGGGCGGAGCGAACATGGCATGACGCCAACGATGGTATGAACATCCATTCATCGTGATGCCTATGAATGCGGGTGGTGCAAAACGCAAGTGCGACGGAAAGGAAGGGCAAAAAATCGAGGCACCGAATCTTCCAACCGCAGCATCCTCTTTCCCTAGTGCCGCAATCGAAGATCATCACGCGTGCCTTCTCCGGTATGTATGGGAAAACCGTGGATCCATGGGGGCGGGGTACAAAAATCCATACATAAATCGCTGGTGAATCTCTCGAGCCCTGTCTGCATAGTCTACCACCGCTCCCGGAACAATGTGCCAGCGCCTACCTTCGTATATAAGGGTGATGGGGGTATGCAAACAGCCGATGCTACGGAAGCGCCCTTTTGGCAATGCAGCCACACACGGTAATCGCGAGTGCCCGAGTCAACGAGATGCCCCGTTCTTGCTGTATGTGAAGATTCATGCCCGTCGGGTGTCGAGTGGTCGACAAAACCGCGCCAAAGCTAGCACAAAGAATACCACCTGGCCTTCTTTCTGACGAGCCCTTCGCCGCCTTGCTATTCAAGGGCGAGGACGGAGGGTCACGGAAGAGGGTACAGTTTCGTTTTCAATAGCACACGCTATTTCAGACCTTGTGAATCAGCGAGGGTGAATTTCTTCGTCAGGTCATTCGGATGTAGTCCAGTGGGTACTTTGCAAGATGATCCGAGTGAAAATCGGCGGAGAGTGCGTATTCCCGGGCAGGGTTTCGTTTAGACGCGGCGAGAGCGAAACAGTGCGTCCAGGTGCCAGAATGAATCACCAACTTGCACAACGTTGTTAGGTTATGCTACAACGACAATTCTTGTTATCGAATAAGTTATAATAACGGCAACTTTGGCTTTGGTACGAAATGATTGGTATTGCAGCTTGCGTCGAGCAATGGTGCTTTTCATCTAAGAAGCCCTCGGTATGGTTTTGAAGACGGCGTGGAGAACACAGGCGAGATGGAGATATGCACACAACCAATCCATACCTGTGTGCAAAATCGTATGCGTGCATTTCTTGTTGTACTGTATGCTTTCGACGACGATTTTGTCGAGAAGAAGGCGGTGAGGAAAGACGGACAACCATCGGCCAATACTCAATTTGATGTATCAAGACTTTTGGTACCTCATGAAACCGCGTGCTGCCCGAAGCCAGGATTCACACCACCCTTTTCCAGGGACACATGAGACCCTCTAGCCCTCGATCTACACGTAGGTATGTCACTCTTGGTGGCCCAACTGCCGCGCGAAGAGAAAACAAAAGCGGAATATTTCGAGCTCTAATGGCTACCAATGCAACCTGCTGAATAACTTTGATGTTGGTATTTGTGTAGTCGATTGCATCTGTATACATTGTCAATCTTGTCGGGCTTAAACGAACTCAACCAAACTATTTTTGAGTTCTATACAACCTTGACTTCGTTCTTCTCACATTTAACGTTGACGCTCCAGATAGGCGTAGCTACTGTCTGTACCATGGCGAAACAATTCCGATTTCGCTTTCTCCCCGTATCGTCGCGGGTCGCTCCCAGCAAGAAAAACGGAAACCGCGCCCGCTTGCTACAGTAGTGAAGTGGTTCATGCTGAGCATGATATCAGAACGCAAGAGCTTGAGCACTGTTTGTGAGCTCGGTCAGGAAAAGCTTCTTTTTATAGCCGACGGGATACCAGGGAACAAACATTGACTCTGCACCGACCGCAGCCTCGATCGAAACTGCGAAGAGGTTCTAATAGCCGAAAGTGCATCCGGAAACAGATTTTTCCGGCTTCGAAGTACAAACGCGATGGGCCGATGCCTTCATAATGTTCACCAGATCCACATCGCCATCCGCAGCCGTGAGTAGCTGGGCCTCTGACAGGGCAAATTGCACGGGAGGAGTTGAAAGCGTGAGCGCAATGTGTGGCTCAGGAAAACCGCGACACGCGCAAGAGGTTGATTGATTCAGTGAAGGAATCTTGTGGGGCCGACAAATGGTACGGTCATGCGAGGGGACAACTCTGGTTTCACCCATCTAAGAGCACCGAACTTCTGCGATTCTCTCTGAAAGATATTGACCCCGCGGCAAGTGAGTGGGGTATGCCCCCGAGGGTTGACATCAGCGCAGCCACCCATTTTTTCTTTAGTATGCCGACCCGCTACTCGAGGCTGAGCTCGTTGAAGGCCTCCCTGTGGTTCGGGGTGAAGACCGAACGAAGAACTCTACAGTATGAATGCATCGAGGACCACCAGTCGTTGCAGACGTCTACTGAGACCCCCGAGCCCACGATTCCAGCACTCTGGCACTCCAGCGTACGCTGAAATCAAGGTGAAGCGATGTTCTTTACACCGCCTGGGTGCGCGTGTTCTTAGACGCGGGTACCCATATTTGAATCGCGTGACCCAAAGGGCTTGGGGTTACCGCGATAGTCTACGGTGACGGCGGCCACAGAATCAGCTTGTTCCGAACGACAAGATGCGTTTGCTCATTGGGCTAGATAGTCTATGTTGATCTCGTCGGGTGACGTGGGAAAAAGGTATTGGTTCAGGATGAACAAGAAGAAGTTGAACTGCTCGTCTCCCGGGTGGTTCGCGATCTGTGGGTAACACAACATGGTGCGTACATGCGGTGAGCCCATGGAGCAGAGAAGATTGTCGACTGTGCACAAACTTCACACACACACGACCAACACCGTGTCAGTTCACGTCGGATAGCAGGCGATATCTATGTTCGCGAGGAACTCGATCCTCGATCCTGCACAAGGAATGGATGCCCCGAACATCTCAAGCATGCCCGAATCGATATTCATATGTAACCCCTATGATAGTAAAGGCTTACCCATCAGACTACTCAGTCAGCGCTGACTGAGTAGTCTAATGGGTAAGCCCATCAGCGCTGACTGAGTAGTCTAATGGGTAAAGCTTTTACTATCATGGATGGCACGCTTCAGTCAGCGCTGACTGAGTGGTCTAATGAGTAAGCATCTACCATCGAAGGATACACGTACAGGTTCAAATTCCGGGCTGATCACATTACGAAAAGCACCATACTTCTGTTCTCGGCAGCGCCTGGCGAGGGGTCCGTCCCCGGAGATCTCTACTCACAGCCGGGGATTCTACGAGCCGAGAGTGTATCTTTTGATAGTAAAGGAGAGTAGTCTAATGGGTAAGCCTCTACTATCACCCTACATAGTCCATCCCGCAAAGCGCAGAGAATGAATGAGCTAGCTTGTGTGTGTTTCACTGGGTCCAAAGAGCACCATTTCTTTCGTACTCTGCTTGGTACACACTTCAAAGAATACGCACGAGGCTTGGCGCAATTCGTTCGTAGCGGACAACGTCGACGAGGAAATCCCAGCTCTCCATGCACAAGTTTTCCCGACAGAATTTTCCACACTGCTGGGCCAGTTCTCCACCGCCGCTTGCGAGCCGTAGCACGACGCATTCATCCGACGCCTGCACCATAAAGGCTTCTTCAACGGGGACCACGGCGGCCCTGAACCATTGCTGCACCCAATCACGGTGAGCTCTCGCCATGAGAAGCAACAAGCTGCGTCGAAGCAACCGCCGACGCATTAGGTAAGATAATTATCGCGAAGGCGGCTTCATGGACGTCCCGGCAGCAGGAGAGGACCGAACTAGCCCTTGGCATACCGTAAGCTATCGTGCGTCCTCCCGAAGAGGGAGGGAAGCCTTATGGCATAGTATGTTCTACATGGTATCACGTTCCGCTAGGAAGCCAAAACTTACATCAGTCTAGGAACGCACAGACGCGTCTTGCTCCAAAACCATAAATGTCGCACTGCTTTTCACCCCTCACCCCCAAACCCCTGCGTGATTCCGAACAGGAGCGATAGCACCTCAACTACCACATGAAGTGCAGGTATGTTCGACAACACGTCCAACATCAACAGCACTTGGAGCACGAAATGTGTAGCTGGGTGGAGCGCAGGGCGAGAAAGGAAGGTGGAATAATCAGGAACAGAGTAAGCAATCGATGAATGAATCGAAACAGCTTGACACAGTCGTGGCTGGGACATGAACCTCTACAAAAGAATGTGCCAGCGTTGGCTCTCTCTGCCCTTTTTTCACAGCGCGGAAATACCCGTAGCCACCAACGGCCTCAACCCACCTTCCTACATGGAGCGTGGCTGTTGATGCAAGGCATTACAACATCACATCATCTTTTTTTTTTCTTCTCCGAACACCTACTTACACAGAACCACCATGTGAAAAACATCGTGCGTGGTCTATAGGTTGACAGCTCTTCACCCTGGGCCAGGACGTCCGTTCGCCCTTCGTGCGCTTGCCTCGGAAACCCTCCACAGATAAAAAAATGTTAGGCCATTCTGCGTACTTTTTTTCTTCACGTGCGATGGTGCTGCCACCGATCATCGCACAGCACAACTCCTCGCGAAGCTTAATAGCGTCATTTACGCGTGATATCCGTATGACCAAAATGGATAGTGGCCCTCCGTCCACAATGAGTACTGCTCCCCCCAGCATGACGTAATCAAAGTAGAAGCACTACTGTACTTCTGTAGAGAAGAGACACCATATTTTTCGGTTGAGCAGGCGGGTTCACGAGGTTGGAGGAGAAACGCACCCATCTTCAACCCACGTTAATCGTGTTCGGTACGACAGTCGCAGCTACTCCATCGGCGTGCATGCATGCTGTCACAGATAGATGTCGGTGGTTACTCGTCGGGGCAGAGGGAAGCGTCAGGTGGTGAAGCGAACCTTCCACCGTGCACCTCCATCCAAGCCCATGAGTATACAGATATGAGGCGACGCAATCTTAATGGGGGTGTCTAGACTTTGCGATAGCAAAAAATCGTTCACATTAAACACTCATCCGTGCACCAAGAAGCCGTCCGCTCTGATAGGCCAAAGCTGTGATTGTGTGGTGTCACCTCGAGTAGTGTGCAGGATCGTCCCGGAAAAACAAACCGGCGCGGATGGTGAGCCTGATGGAGGCCGGGACCAATACGCCCGTTGCATGTTTTCTATTGACGAATTTGGCGTACTTTAGCCGATATTTGCGATTGTACGCGATCACCAATCGGACTCCCGGACAAAGTACGGCATCGTGGAAAACTGGAGCACTGCAGCCAGGCAAAGCCCAAGCATGCAT